TTCTGAACTATTTTACATTCCCACCAGCAGTCTATGATTGGTTCCAATTTCCAATATTTATCATGTCTTTCTGGCTGGTCATTCTACTAGGTTTGAAGTGGTATCTTATGGTGATTTTCATCTCTATTTTCCTAATACTTATAATGATCACCTTTTTTATTATTTGTCTTTATATATCTTTACTGGAAAAATGTCAATTCAGATTCTTCTAAACTGGATTTGTCCTTTATTGTTGAATTTCAAGAGTTCTTTATGGATTTCATGTATGAGTCATTTTTCATATATGATTTACAAATATTCTCTCCTATTTTGATATTTCTTGATGGTATCCCTTAGAGCACATTTTAAAATTTTCCTGAACTATCATTTATTCTTTTCTTTGTGCTTTTAGAGTCATATCTAAGAATACTGCCTAATCCATGATCACTTAAAAACTAATATAAGCCTCATGTTTTCTTCTAAGAGTGTTATAGTTTTACCTACTACATTTAGGTCTAATATACATTTAGAGTTAATTTTTATATATGGTTTGAGGTAAAAGTCCAATTTCATTCTTTTATATGTGGTTATCTATCCAGTTGCCACAGCACCATCTGTTGAAAAGATTATTTTTTCCTCATTAGTCTTGATATTCTTATCAAAAATCAATGGACCTAAAAGTGATAATTTTTTACATTTCAAGACTATTCTATTGAACTACATTTCTGTATAATGCCACTGACTCTCTAAATACTAATGTAGCTTTCAAGCCAATTACTTCATTGCAGCAAAATACACAACATAAAATTTACTGCTTTGACCATTTTTCAAGCATACAGACCAGTAGTATCAAGAATTTGGTATTGTGCAACTATCTCCACTATTCAAGTCCTAAACTTTTTCAACCCCTCAAATATAGTAAATTTTGAAATGGGGAAGGTGTGAGTGAAAGTAAAAGGAGAGTTCCTTTTTTTTTTTTGGTACTGGGGGTTGAACTTGGGTCCTTGCACTTGCAAGGCAGGTGCTGGAACCACTGAGCTAAAACCCTGGCCCTGATCCTCCCTTTTTTTTTCCAAAATCGTTTTGACTATTTAAGATCTCTTGCATTTCCATGTTAATTTTAGAATTGATTGTCAATTTTTGCAAAAGAGATAGTTGAGATTCTGATACTATTTGGAGATCCCAGATGTGTAGGTCAGTTTGGGAATTAGTTGTGGATTTTAATGATAACTCTTCATTTAAATAAACACAGGATAGCTTCTCATTTACTTTGATCCTTAATATATTCCACAGCTGGGTGTGGTAGCATACACCTAAAATCCCAGCACTCAGGAGGCTAAGGCAGGAGGGATCACCTTGAGTTCAAGGCCAGTTTGGGCTATATAGTGAGTTCAAGGCCAGCTGAATTACATAGTGAAACCCTGTCTCAAAAAACAAAACAACCGAATACATACAAACATAATATATATGTATATATGTATATATGTGTGTGTGTGTGTTTATCTTTGATTTCAGTGCACAAATCATGCTAACTTATTTCTATTTTATTCCTTTAGATTTGGACTTGCTTTATCTTTGCTAAAGTTTCGGTTTTCTTCCTCTTGTGTGAATTCCTTAAGAGTTTTTTTTTTTAATATACATGCGCATATCATTTGTAAGTAGAGATGATCTTTCCTTTGTTTATTCCAATTCAGACATCTTATTTTACTTCCTAATGGCTCTGGCTAGAACTCCTGATACAATGTTGAATAGAAGTGATAACAGTGAATTATTTTGTTTTTTTGGTGGCTAGAAGTTACTCATTTACTTTTGATTTTTTATTAGTACATTTGCAGTACATGATTATATTCCTTGTGGGGAATTGGTACATACACAAAACACATCTTAATTCTGTTTTATAAACAGAATAAAAGATGGGTATGCACGAATCACTATAACCATACATTCTTAAGCAGAAAAGATCAAACATAGTAAGCCTGACACCACAATCCTTTAAAAACTTGTCAGGCTGGCTGTTGGTAGCATCTGCAAAGTTGGATCTCAGGAAGAGTCCCATTATTCTCTGATAAGGACTCACTGTGCCTGTTAGTGCAAATAATCTGTTTTTTGCTGAATACCTATTTTTCTTTAGGTATTCTGGAATTTTGGTACATGCTAGGTAAAAAAAAATGCTATATGACTGATTTCTAATAAAGGTCTTGACTCCTTGACTCAAGTAAGCTTCCTAGGTAGACATTTCATATACATTGTCAGAACACATTGCTATATGATTTAAGTATGTTCCATGTAGGTTCACTGAGAGAACCTACCTTGTACCTGGTTTCCTTGATTTTTCCACGTGCACCTTTACTTCAGTTAATTTTGCTTTTTATCCTTACTGTGGCACAGCCATGAGTATGACCATCTCCCATATCCTGTATTCCTCTTACTGAATCATCAAGCCTGGTGTGGTGTTGGAGACAAGTGACAGTTTTTGTTTGTTCTTTTTTTGCTAATTTTTAAAGAGATGAAGAGACTTAGGCAGATTTTTAAAAGTACACACTCAAAGAAATAGTGTGCTGGCCTCAAGTGGTAGAGAGGCACCCTGTTGCCTTAAGCCAGGTTTATTTGTGGAGACTTGTGGGTATTCCTAAAATGGGCTACCATGTCTACGGCCATAACACCCTGAACGCGCCTCATCTCATCTAAAATGGGCTACCAGGTATATTCTAGTGTCTGTCAGGTTCTGCCCATCTCGTGGGTTAAAATGCAGTCAATTTACATTTGAAGCAGAGACACACTGTTCTCTTAGGCTTTCTGAGGATGGAGGCTGGTAAGAGGAAGCACGTTTACAGATGAGGTTGGTAAGAGGGACTGCACTTTACTGGTGAAAGTCACATGCACAGAGCCTAGTTTATAGGCTCACTGTCTTTAAGGCCCTTAGGAATTTTTCCTGGAAGGAAAAAAAAGCTTGAATAATATTTGTCACAAACCTACAGGTTTTCTTAAAAAGTACACTTTAAATATTACAAGTTCCTTGTCTCCTTTTTAATTTATCCAACTTCATTATCCCCTCCCCAGACTTTGATCCTTTATTCATAGGGGTTGCAGAAAGGCTGAAGTACTGCTGCTTCAGACTGATAAGTGGGTGTTGACCCTATATAGCCAGAAGAAAAAAATCTCATTCTGACCTAAAGGAGACAAAGCAAAACAGGGTTGTAACCAGCGTGTCACTGAAAGTTAAGGCAGAATCTGACATGGCAATAACTTTTGGATGTAGGTCTCATAATGCAGAAGACACATTTGCAGAGTTGTCAGGAACATGTACACATTATATTTTAGGATTTTGGGTTTTTTTTGGCGGGGGGTACCGGGGATTGAACTCAGGTCCTTGCGCTTGCAAGGCAGGCCACGGAACCACTGAGCTAAATCCCTGGCCACACATTATGTTTTAATAATAGCACAGATGAGCATCAGCTTGACTAAGGGCTAGAGAAGTCAAAATTGTAGTCTTGATGCCTTGCTTATCTCCTGTGGCTGGACTGCCAAAGGAAATGTCACTGGACAGGGTCCAGGCAGGTCTCAAAGTGGGGATGGGAAGTCTTGACTCACCCCACATATGGGGCAAGTTGCGGGTTTGTTGGCTTCTATCACTGAAAAAGAATTCTTGGTATGCATTAGTGAAAGGCATAAAGAAATTTATTAGGCAGAATCTTTAAAGTACATACTCAAAGAAATAGAGTGAAGCTCTCAAGAGGGAGAGGCCTTTTGGCCGCCGTTTTGAATGGTTAAGCAGCTCTATTAGGATGAGAACAGTCTATTTAAGTTTTTTAAAAATTATCACCAAAAGATTTTGGATTTTGTCAGTGCTTTTTCTGCACCTATTGAGACAATTAGGAGGTTTTTGTCTTTTAGTCTATTAACAGCTTGTTTTACATAAATTGATTTTCAAATATGAAACCATGCATTCCTAGGATGAATCACACCTGGTCTTGGACTTCTATTATAGAACAGAGACAAATCTAAATAGCAACCAAATACATACTTTCAAATGCAGTAGTTGTAAGCGCTGCTAAGATTAAAATCAAGTAGGACAAGAAAAGAGTAGGAGAGATGCTAGAATTGTATTCTAGGAAGGCACCTCTGAGGTAATGATAATTTGTTTTGGGAGACACTGTGAAGATAATTCCGGGTGGTAAGCCAAGCAAACTGCAAAGGGCTTGAAGCAGAAATGATCTCAGTGTGTTTAAGGTTAGTCTTAACAACAAGATGGCCACCGAAGTCAAAACAGTGAAAACAGATGAAAACAGAACATAACAGGGAGGGAGGGTCACGGTAAAGAAATTTGGATTTTATTATAATTGTGATGGCTACACACTGAAGCATGCTTTTCAGCCTGCATAGACAGCCTTTCTCCTCTTTGGTTTGCTAGCTAACTTTTATTTCAAAATTCAACCTCATATTCTCTGGGACATGTTCCTTAATTTCTCAGAAACGCTGTAAAACCTGTGAGCAATGATAACTGCTGACTTCTTTTCATGCTGCTAGAGACCTAGTTTTCTCTTTTGTATCTTTACAGTCCCAGAGTCTAACATACACATTTGTTAAAAAACAAAAACAAACAAACAAAAAACCAGCTAATCTCTACAGTAATGCAAGCCTGACTCTGAGCAGTTCAGGTGCTGGACACGGAGGCTCTTGGCAGTCCTTGGGCTGGGAAGTTTCATGCACGCTGCCTTGGCTGAGAACGCCCTTTGAAAGGCCCGACCTCCTAATTGCCAGGTGCTCGCTGCGTCCCCTTCGCAGGTCTTTGCCCATCCTTTCTATCCCCGGGGTGGATCCTCACTCAAGTGGGGATGAGAGGAGAGAAAGTTCGGGCTTCCCAACTCTGCCAGCAAACCCTTCCCCGGCCTACTCACGCACCCAGGTCGCCCATGCCCACCCATATTCAAAGTCCAGCGTCGCAGCATCCAAGCCGCCATTCGCCTTTCTTCTATACCACATCCCTTTGCCCGTGCACAATGCCCTCCGGCCCCACTCACCTAGGATGCGGGTGATGCCAAGGGTCAACTGCTCTAGGTGCGGCTTGTTGCATCCCAGAGGCGGGGGCGGCGTCTCCTCCATGGCTGGCGTCCCAGCTCGGCCCGGGCAGAGAGACAGCAGGGCAGAGGAGGCCGGGACCCCGCCTCAGCGCC